AAAAAAAAAAAAAAGGACATCAAGTGAGGAAGGATACTAGCAAGCCTCCCCCACCATGCCCCTTGTGCCTTTCTTCCATAGTCCCATCTCTCCAGCTCTCATCTTTGCCTCCCTGCTCCACTTTGAAGGACCTGGGTCCACTCAAATAATCCGGGCCAACCCATTCCTCTAAGGTCCTTAACTGAATAACATGTGCGAGGTGTCTCTGGCCACACAGGGTAATTTATCCACTGGCTCTGAGGACTCGGAAGAAGGTATCTTTCAGGAGTTAGAACTCTGGGGTCAGCAGAGGCAGCAAAGGTACACATAAAGTTACAAAACACAAACATTGTGCATCTGTGAAAACTATACAAAAGTACAACTTCATTTTGTGCATTTCATCCTAAATTGTGTGCATCCCACTTTAAGATTAACATCAAATGAAAACGCTAGATAAATACTGAACTCTAGTTTAACAGTACAGAGATATTAAAATTATTTAAGGGGTGGTTCTCATTAGTGGCATAGCGGGTTGGTGCACGACACTGTCCACAGCCATGCAGCCAAGTTCCATCCTTGGACAGGGAGGTGGTCCACTGCCCACCTGCTGCTCCCCTCAGCAGTGTTTCAGTCATCTGCCTGTTCTGCTCCTCACTCTCTCTGGTGGATCCTCTCACCCCTACACCTCTGGCTTATGCCCCTTATATGCATGGATGGATAAATCTATTTTAAAAAAATTATTTAGGGAAAGGATGCTGATGTCCGCAATTTGATTTGAAATGCACACCAAAAAGGTGGACTGACTAGAGAGGAAGACATAGGTTTTAAAAAATATAGTAATATAGTAAAATGTTAATGGTAGCTTACAAGGAGGGATTACAAATTTTCACAGTAAAATTATTTTAATTTGCCGTATGTTGAAAATTTTTTTTATTACAAAGTTTATTTTTACATCATTTTGCACATTTTTTTTTCCATCTCGATTGTAATCCCCGCGGGTTTCCCATCACCAAATCACCCCTGTGCCACCACCATAGTCCCGTGCATTTCCCTCCCCCCCCCCATTTTTGATCCCATTCCCCACTCCACCCCCACAAAATGTCTCTGGTATATGGTTGTTCATTATTTTTGTTATTTTCTCGCCTGGTCCATCGTATGTTGAAAATTTTTATAAAATGCTGCTCCCTGGTGGAGCAAGGGATTGAATCACAGCACTATGAAGCTATCCACAGACACTGCAGCACTAGTTTGATTCCCTGCTAGGGCGGAGACCAACATGCCATAGCAGACCTCTACTGACCCACCTGCTGCTTCCCTGAGCAGTGTATTTCAGTACATCTGCCTGTTCTGCTCCCCACTGTGTCTCTGGTGAACCCTCTCACCCCTCCCCCACACTTCTGGCCTGTACCCCAGTTCTTATATGCATAAATAAATCTTTTTTAAAAAATGTTGGATAGAAAAGGTAAGAATGAAGCAAAGAGACTATTACTATTACTATTGGTTCTAAGTCAGAAATACATATGAAACACCAGTTCATACCTTGCTTCTTAGCTGGCTGGGAGGAGAGGCCAGAAAGGGACTAAAGGTAAAGTATACTATCAGCTGAACTATAAAATAAGACACTATTTTCTTTAAAATAAAAATTTCAAAATCCTAAAACCTTT